ATATATATATATATATGATATATATTTATATATATATATATATATATATATATATATATATATATATATATATATATATATATATATATGTGTGTGTCTGTGTGGCATGTTATAATTGTTGACAATCTTGTGTTACCATGCATATTGATAAATATAGTTTTGATTTCGAAATTTTTGAAATGATCATATACACATATATGTAGATACATATATATAGACCAGGTCTATATATATATAATGGCCATGAGTTCTTGAGTTGGTTTTGAGTGGAGGAATTTGAAATGAGTTCAAATTGAAAAGGTTTGAAATGATTCAAAGTGGAAAGAGATTTGAAATTCCATGTCAATTGACTATTATATATGTTTGGTTAAGCAAACATATAGAATTAGAGTCAAGTAAAATAAAATAAATTTAAGTTTTTGAATCTCGCTGCCACCCATTTTTAAGAGGCAATTGCAACGCTTGAAAAGTATTTTACCTGTACTTGGGTGGGGTGGAGGGACCCGGGACCTTGGAGATATAAATACTGAATGGTTCACCATTCCTAACCATTTGATTAAACTTTTAATTGAGATCGTCACCCAACAAGGCATAACTATTACTTCAAATCCGAAATTATTAACTCGTAGAAAAATTTAGAGTTATATTTTGGTTAAAGTGCAAATAACACCTTGAAATCTACTTGAGTTGTGAATATTCCATGGTGTTTGTGAAGTGTAATACTTTTTGGTCTTTTTTGGTATGTGATTTTGGTTTCATTGATGAATAGAAAGATTTATTGTAAAATGTGGAGTATTACAATAATTAGTATCTTTGTGTAATACCTAATTGCTATATATATAAACAAAAAGAAAAAAAGAAAAAAAAAACATGATATTTTATTGACAAAACCCCTATGATTTTTTTGTTTTTGGGAGTTAGTACCCCTCCCCTATTTAGGGTTATGTGACTAAAAAATAAAAATAATATGAGCATTTGTTTAACAATTTGATGTAACATAGGGATACTAATTGCAACTAACCTTGTTGCATGTGTTTATTTTGTACTTAATAGTAGTAGCGATATGTTAATTGATTTGCTAATGATTATTGACTAAAATACCCCCATTGCCATGAGTATCACCACCCAGTAGAATACATACACAGGTGAACTTCTTCTACCCTTTCAAAAATCTAATATTTTACCACAATAAAATTCTTATTTCTGTCTAGCAAGACATATTTATCTATTATAATTTATAAGTATAATATAATATATTGTCAATAAAAATAGTATAAAATATGAAATATGAAGAAAAAAGATAATATGATTACCTTTTTGTTTTTGAAAACATAATAAGATATGTCATTATTAATATTCTTTTATCTTATTATTAAATACATTTACAAAAACATATTTATCTGTCATGACAGAAAAAAAATAAAAAAATAAAAAAATAAAAAAATAAAAACTTTTGAGTGACAACACCTATTTTTCATATAATTAGGCAAAAAGTGTTGTCACTATACTTGTCACTAACGAGATGTCGTTAATGGTCTATATTGACGATAAATAAGGATTAAGTGACAACTTTTGTATTTGTCACAATTGGGTGTCGCTAATGCAACTTTTTCTTGTAGTGTCATTGTTTAATCTTTTACAACATAACTCAAAAATATTTTATTTTTGAATTATATGTAAGGTTGTTGAGTATTTAATCTTTACTCCCAACTAAAAAAAACCCCACACATATATATAATTTATTTATTTGTGTAATGGTTGTTATTTATAATTCGAAAAAATTGGTACTCTGTTGTTATTTTTTATGATGAGGCACTGTCAAATAAATGTTGAGTCACTGTTATAAAACTAGTACATACAGCCTAATAAGGAATTTTTATTTTAATTTATAAATTGTAAAATATTTATATAAAGGGAAATTTGACTTTTATTCTACACATTTAATTTGTTAATAATGAATAATAGTTGGTAGATATATTAATATAAATAACATTTGATATATATATATATATATATATATATATATATATATGCAGATGGACATTAATTGCTGGTAGAGTCCCTGGAAGAACAGCCAACGATATCAAGAACTTCTGGAAAACCCACTTTGAAAAGCAGTCCGCCACCGCCGCCGCCGCCATCGCCGGAGGCGAAAGCTCAGCGGGGATCAAAACCACAACTCAGAGTTGTAACATCTTCAAACCCATACCTCGGACCTTGTCCAAGTTATTTCAACAAGTACCAGAATACTGTCCGGTGAATGTCGATGATAATAATAATAATAATAATAATAATAATAATAATAATAATAATAATAATAATAATAATAATAATAATAATCTCAAAAACAAGGAGCCATTTCTACCAGTAATACAAGAAGAAGAAGAAGATGATGAAAAAGCAGATGAATGCATTCGGTGGTGGGGAAACTTGCTTGAAATAGCCGAAGAAAATGGGCAAGGGGCAAATTCGTCATTGTTTACCGACGAGTACCCGCCCGTTACCGATGAACCAACTACTATGTTTTCTCCCGGAAATAACTACGTAAATCAAGATCTTTTTAGTAACTTATCCCTAGATCTCCATGATTGGGAACTCTAGCTATATATATATATATATATATATATATATATATATATATATATATATATATATATATATCACGAGTCACGAATAAGATCAATGCATGCATGTGCGCGCGATCTTTTAGTTTAATAAGATTGTTTAGTCGTCTACATATTGTATCCGTTTTCAAGATTATTGTTGTCCTTCAAGAGCTTCTTCAATCATTTAATTGGCAATTTCAATAATACATTTATTATTATCGTTGTTTTAATTTTACTATTTTATTCTGGCTTTTGTAAAATTTTATTCTATTCATTCGTGAACTGTTCGACGAGTTCCAATCTTGTTTAGCTATCAATCTTAGTCGCTTCTATCACTACATCTGTATCAGTTTTCAAAATCAATAAATGTGAATAGATTCTAGAAAAAAACTATAATAAATAACTAAAAAACCAATTTCGTTAATCGCTTCATCATTAATTTTGTTAATAGCATTAGGGCAAATTTGAGAAAAACCAATAAATATTCCATTGTAATTGTAAAGCGACAATTATTTTGAAATAAAAAAAAATCTATAGAAAGATAAATAAAATGAAAAGGAGAACGTAATAATAAATCTATAACTAGTCTAGGGGTGTAAACGAGCCGAGCCGACTCGTGAGCTCGAAGAGCCGGCTCGTAAAAAGCTCGAACTCGGACTCGAGATTTTCGAGCTCGAGCTCGAGCTCGCGAGCTCGAGCTTTTTGACGAGCCGAGCTCGAGCCGGTTTTCAGTTGTTCATGAGCTCGCGAGCCGGCTCGCGAGCCGGATTTATTATTATTATTATTATTATTTTTTTTATATGTTATTTTTATTTAAATAATGTATAATAATGTAAAATATTATAGAAATAAATACAAATATTAAAAATATATATAATTACAATTTTGTTTTTATTTTTTATTTTTTTAAATAATTTTTAATAATAAATAATAATTAAAAAAATATTTAAAAAAAAAAAAAAGACAATGGGCTCGAGCTCGACAAAATTGACACGAGCTCGAGCTCGAGCCAAAAACAGAGGAGCTCGCGAGCTCGAGCTCCAGCTCGAGCTCGACAAAATAAACTCGAGCTCGAGCTCGAGCCAGCCAAAAGAGGCGAGCTCGGCTCGTTTACACCCCTAAACTAGCCATATATGCCAAACCAGCATGGGAAATGAGGAGAATTAAAAACCAACTTGATAAAAGTTGGTCAAACATGAAAATAGTTATTTAATTTAGCCTTAAACTAACCATACCGAACCAGGATGGGAAACGAGGAGAATTAGAAAACTCGTTTTGTTGTTAGGTTGGATAATTAATAAAGTTAAACTACCAATTATACCCTTACTTCTAATCCTATATTTTGGCGTCTCCCTTTTATCGTTATGTCTTTCTTTTTCTTTTCTTGATATGCATTCACTCTGATCTCTTCTCTCCTCCGTTGTTTGTTTTACTTCTTTTCGATCTGCTTCTTTTCTCACTCTTCTCCCTCTTTACAAGATTAGATCGAAGGTTGAGATGTATAATGAGTTGAAGGCTAGGGTTGCCCACAATTTCTCGATTTGCGAAGATTTCTTCTTCGTCGCCACAGGTTATGGAATTTTAATTTGATTTTGCTGCCTCTTTTTGGATATGGCGGTGGTCACGAAGAAAATTGGGTTTTAGTGGCTTTGTTTTGGTGGTTTTGATGGTGGTGATTTTGTTTGGGCTGGTGGTGCAGGTTATAATTTATTTTATATGTCATTAAAAACCGTCAGAATATGGAAGTGTGGTGGCGATGGTGTGATGTGGCGGAAACATTTACTTTTAATAAACATGACAAAAATCAATCAAATCAAATAATTTTAATGATAATAATATTGATTTGATTTGATATGATTTGTTAATCATATATGTGGTATATGATTAACAAATTTTGGTGCGTAAGTTTTTTTTTTTTTTTTTATTGAAGATGTAAATAGTATAAATAAAAAAAAGTCGTAGACAATTACAATGGGCATACCTGAGGGAATTGAGGCACTAATGGATAGCTACAAGCCATCGAAAAGCATAAAAAACATAAAAAAACATCAAGTTCGTAAAACAAGAATAGTTTCGGCTGAGGTTAAGCCCTCAAGCCCTAGTTGGCGTCGATTTGGCCGATCATGAATCGTCCTCCACTGCTGGTCGTCAGTTCCGGGTGCTGCATAAACATAGCTGAATAAACGTGGGTTTGAATCCTCCGAGTGATAGCGGTTGCCGTCGCTTCCGTCATGTCGAACGTCCTCCTGTTCCGAGCTGCCCAAATGTGGTAAACAACACTTGCCAAAGCACATCTCCTCGTCTTGCTTCGGTAAGATTTGCCCTTGACATCCTTCACGAGCCACTTCAAGGCAGCCCGTAGCGTAGTTGGTCTTTGTGAGATCCACAACCATACAAGTATGCGGTCCCAAACTTCTCTCGAGATGCTGCATCGAAAAAATAAATGCTTTCGGTCTTCATTCCCCGCTCCGCACAACACACAAGTCTTCTCCACCGTCGCGAATTTTGACACATTTTCTAGGGTTTGCAACCGATTAAAGGCAGCTAACCAAAGTATGAAAGAGTGCTTGGGAGTCATCGAATGGTCCCAAATCCGTCGGCCCCATGGTGGCCCCCCGGTAGGGGCCCTAATCCAGTCGTAGACCCGTCCAACCGTAAGCTTCCCCGTGCTCGAGAACGTCTTCATTCGAGCAAGAAGTGATGGGATGGACCCCGCCTTGCCCACAATTTCATCCCGGATGCTGCATATATTTTTAAAGTACGGGGGTGAAGTCGCCGACGGTTGCCATTCCCAAACAGGCGTGCCTTTGAGATAGAACTCATTCACCCATTGGATCCATAGGGAGTCCTTTTTAAGGTGGATGTCCCATAGATCCTTCACTAGCAAGCTACGATTCCACGTGCGCAAACATCGAAGCCCTAGCCCCCCATCGGCCTTCGGCTTGCACAAATACTCCCAACCCACTTTTGGTTTGGACGTACCCCACAAGAAATCCCTTGCCATGTCTTCAATGTACCCAATGACCGTAAGAGGAACCGAAAAAATTGAGAGCCAATAGCAACACGTACCTTGAACAACCGTCTTCAAAATCTCCAAACGGCCAGCGTACGATAGCGTATGACCCTTCCAAACTCCAATGGCATGCTCGATTTTGTCCAGAAGAGGTTGGTAATTCAACACTCGAAGTTTTGACGCAGCGAGCGGAATACCTAAGTATCGAAAGGGGAAGGTTCCGGTGGCAAAACGGAAATCCTCCTCGATCGATGTGCGGTCGGCCACATGAACTCCGGCAAGAAATAAATTCGACTTCAAGTTATTCACTTGGAGTCCCGATGCTCGCCCAAACTCCAGCACTGTGGTGGCAAGCGTACGAAAAGAGGCTACATCGCCTCTCGAGAAAAGCATCAAATTGTCGGCAAAAATGAGATGCGTCAATTTGTGCACATGGCACATCGGGTGGAAGTTGAGCTCTTGCTCCAACGATCGAACGTGCAACAATCTTGAGAGGTATTCCATGCATATCACGAAAAGGTAAGGTGATAACGGGTCCCCTTGACGAAGTCCTCTCATCCCCGGAAAGAACCCCCTCGTCACTCCATTTACCGACACCGTGTAGGAGACCGATGTCACGCATTCCATAATCCATCGAACAACCAAGTCCGGGAACCCTAGCTCCACCAACATAGACCGCAAAAAGTCCCAATTTACGGAGTCGTAGGCCTTCCGTAAATCCATCTTTATCATGCATCGGGGAGAGATCCTCTTGCGCTCATAGCCCCTCATGAGCTGCTCCACCATATGTATGTTGTCCGTTATAGATCATCCACTCACAAAAGCAGACTGGGCCCGATCTATGATAGAGGGCAACACCTTCTCAATCCGCTTCGTAATTACCTTCGCAATCACCTTGTAAATTACGTTACAGCAAGCAATAGGGCGAAAATCACCGACTGTTTCGGCATGGGCTGATTTTGGTATAAACACCAAGACCGTGTTATCCCATTGTTTTAGCAACTCGCCATTTCGAAAGAACTCCAAGGCTGCCTCCGTAAGGAGGGGTCCTACAGTCGACCACGCGGCCTTGAAGAAGAGAGCCGTGTACCCATCCGGCCCCGGTGCTTTATCGTCAGCAATATCAAAAAGGGCTTCCCGAATCTCCACCCCCGTCACCTATTGAATCAGCCCCTCTCGATCCTCCTCACCCAGTATCGGTCCCGTGGCAATAACAAGGGTGTCAACCGGTTCACATGTAGTACGGTGCCCAAGAAATTTCGATAATAGGTCTCGAATTCACCTAGTACCTCATCTCTTGATGTTGTGAGCGTGCCATCCTCCTTGCGAAGTGCTGTAATGTTGTTTCGTTTAGCATTCCGCTTCGCCATCCCATGAAAAAATTTCGTCGCACGGTCCGAGTCTCGTAAATGGTGCAGCTTCGCCTTTTGGTAGAAAAAGCTCTTCTCCGCTTTCGCCAAGAAACGATATTTCTCCACTTTAGCCATCATCTCCCCACACAGTTGTTGATTATGGGGGTCATTATGGTAGATTTGCTGAATTTCCTCGAGCTCCCCTCCCGCACGTTTCACCCGTTCAGATATATGCCCGAACTCACGCCTATTGAAACGTTTAAGAGGGTGCTTAAGGGCCTTGAGGTTCTTGCACATGGCCCACTGACGGCTGCCCCGATAATTCGCCGTTCATATCTCCTTAACTTCTCGTTGAAAATCGTCGTGCTGAGTCCACATGTTGAAGAAACGAAAAGGCCGAGATGCCGGGGGTTCGGTCCCTCCTAATCGCACAATCACCGGAGAGTGGTCCGACACCCCCCCGAACGGTAGGAAATGTGCCGAACTAACCTCAAACTCGTCGCGCCACGTTTGATTGACAAGCGCACGGTCAAGTTTACTCCACACTGTATGGTTCGTTCACGTGTATTGAAACCCCGTTGAGGGTAGGTCCTCGAGTCCGCTTCGTCGAAAACACGTCTGTATATCGTT